TTTGTTTAGTCGGTCACTTGCATAGAACTGCAAGCTGCAATTCTTCTTGAAAAGCATCAGCTCTCTTTCACAAAATTACCTACAGCCTGCCAATTTTAGGACAGCAAAACTTCTCGTAAAGTAAGAACCAGATCAACTTCATTATTACTGAAGGGAAAAGCATTCCTTGACAAGCAGGCTGAATTAATGGGATTCTTGCGAGCAACGTTCAACTAAAAAACACTGGAGGTTTTTTTTTATAAAATGCTTATTTTGAAAATACTTTAATCTGATGCCCATTGAATAATTGCTATCTACTATAAATTTTTATTTCCCATGCCTAGAGATCAAAACTGTTACAGAATGACAGTTATACACAGCACAGGAAGCTTGTATTGCCAAAATCTCAAGGCCAAGACTGGAAGCAGGGGAATGGGCATCAAGAATACTGCCAAGCCTTCATCTATTACTAAACTGGCAAGAATTTCTACTACTTGATGAAAATAAAGCTGAACTCTTTTACCTCCTTGCCAAAACTAGGGCCAAGTCTACAGCAGAAGGCAAGAAGCCAGTATTTAGATGGCCAATGTGCTGAGCAACCCAGTTCTGGTTAAGATCTGCATTTTCCTGCATAAACCTATCAAAGAATGAGCCTACAGATGGACTAAATAAACCAAGGTCTACCCTAGAGTTCTGAAATGCAGAGCTGAAACAAATTCAGTAGCTCAGGTTATTATTTCTTGACAGGTATTTCAGATCACATAAGCTGGAAGGGGCTGGGACTGCTGAAGATGCACTGTGCACACACCAGCCGACACCACAGGCCCGACCCCAGATCCAGCCGGGCCAAATGCCTCATCAGCACTCCACACCTTGGTGAGCTACGGCACAGATTCTGCCTTCATCTCTAACAGCAGAAGAGTGTGTGGGAGACGCAGGTGATACTTCTGGCATCCATCATTGTTGCACTACACTCTCACACTGGCTGCACCTTTTTCTCCACTTCTATTGAAAACAATTTTATTTTCAAATCAAATCTTTCGTTTGTGAAACACAGTTCCCAGGTTCAATTTCTCTAGCTGTTCTGCAGCCCAAAATACTTTCTGGTTTTTACCCCTGATTTTTGACCCTAATACATTTCTGTTTCTAAAAACTCATCTATACTTTTAACTCATAAATATTAATGAATGTAAATGCTATTAATACCAATCATAAGTAAGTAGCACAGCTTGACAACAGAGTAACATGTATGAGAAATCGGGGTACTAAGTAAATAAGACAAAAGAGTTTACAAATAGTTACTGAAGTATTTTCAGACTTTTATCTAATTCTCAGTGGCTTTAGAAACATGAACAAAATCCTAGTGTAAGTCATTTGCAGATAATATGACACCTTTGTTATTTGCACTGAATTCAGAAGACGTATGTCTGTGCTAATCTTAAATGAAACTTTATTTACCATTTGCAAATATGCTGGCTGTTTGCTGTGCAATCCTGCAATGCAGATCACTTCATGCTCTGACCACTGACAGTTACACAGGCAAACACATGCTGTTACTTTGCACTCTTCCAACTGTATTCACTTGTTCCCTCAGCACTTAAAACACAACCTTGTGAAGACTTACATATTCATTTCCACTGAGAGCACCAATGTTTAATTTAAGTTAATGGGAAAATTCACAACAGAATGCTAAATATATGTAAGTAAGAAGTCTTCACAAAGCTCCTCCACCCCTAAATTTAGAACATTTAAGCAGTACTTTTTCTAGTGTAAATATACTTACAACAGTATTTAAGCATCTGTAAAACAAATTAGACATTGAGAGTACTTCCTAATAATTTTAAATATGACTTGCATTGCAATAGCTGTTGGTGGTCCCAAGTGAGATTAGGATTTGTAGTCTAAAAAACAGACAAGACAAAGACAATTAAGCAAAAAGGGTTGTATTACATGAAGACTGAATAAAGAGTGATGTTTTGCATTCCTATTAATTTCAGTGTGACAGTTGGTGCTTATTAGAAGATTCTCCTGCAAGGAGCTTAGAAAGTAACATATTAACATTCACTATTTAATTCCTCCCAAGTCCTTGCATTCTATTTCTGTCTTTGGCAGCAAGTATCCAGCCAAATTACAGAGAAATACATCCAGTGATTCCAACAATCTTAGGAAACAGAACTTCATTCACAATTAAAGACTAAAGAAGTACAACTGTTTTCAACCTAACCCATTAGACAATTCCTCCCTAACCCCAAATTAATAACCCTGATCTTAAAACTAAGATCACTAGTTAGGCCATGTAGCTTTCAGTATCATTAAGAACAATGGGAAAATCTCAGTCTTAGTGGCAATCAATATCAAATGTATTTTAAAGAGTAAGAAAGTTTTCAAAATCCCAAAGAAATCAGTAGAATCCCTAAATATTTGCCATTTGCCAAATTATTTTTTTCCATGCTTGAGCAAATCTGTGCTCATTTCCATAAAATTATGTAAAAATATAAATAGCATATGCTACCTTGATTCTAAAAATGGCAAGCAAAATCTTTTTACAGCAACTGTAAAAAATTAATTGATCACTACTACATACTATAACTATAAAGACTAGAAGTACAAATTTTATCCAAGTATAGGTTAACTCCGAAGACATTGTAATGATATGTATAATTAAAACTACTAACCTATAATTTCATTTATGCCTCCTGCAACTTGATGTATGAGAAGCAATAAATAGTACAGAAGCTGTTTTGTATTATCTTATGTTAACCATCATAGCCTGCAGAGCTGATTCCTACATGATTCTGTTTGTAAATGCCTCTACTGAGAAGTCTGACAATTCATTCCTACACTTTTTTAATTACCAACTGATTATTAAGTAGAAGGACTTTGCTTCTTATTGCAGGCCACTTTAATTTCTTTAAGAGCCATTTGAAGCATTTTGAAAATGCAAATTGATATCATATGCCTCATATTGAAGGCATCATGAGATATTTTTAAAACCCTCTGGCAGACTGAGTGAATTAACCTCAGGAAAATCTGTATCAATCCTTCCCCAATACACTAGCAGATAAGCTGAAAACATAGTAGTCTCTTTTATAGCTTCTGAAGTGTGATCAATGCAGAATCCAGACTTCTTGGTCTGAAGTTGCTATTATTACCATAAATATTCCCTTAAAAAAGCAACCAAACACTTCCTTTTAGAGCTCTGTTACCTCAGCTTAAGTAACCCTTGCTAAAAATCTTCAAGGTGAAATAGCATCATGTTAAAAAAAATAAAAAACCCCTCCAAACATACTTAACTTTTATATGATGGTTTTATTTTCTTCAACTGTTATTTTTACACCTTGATCAGCTACTGACCCCATCACCACTGATAAACTTTCAGCTCCCTGATACCATGAACATTAGATATTATTAGGTGTTATGCCTTTAGCAAGTTGATTCTCAACAGTCTTTTTTGGGCTTGCCTTCTTACTTTTGCATTTAACTTGACAGCCTCTCTGATCTATTTCCCCCCTCTACATTACATCCTTTTCTTATTAAAAACTTCCTTTCTCCTGCAGTTTCAACATGTCACCTTTAATTTTTTGGTCTTCTGATACTGCACCGAAGCCCGGGGAAACAGAGGAGAGTACTCTGCCGTTCTTGCGGAGTAGCGCTTACGATGGCTACGTGTCTGTTCCTTGCTGGGGGAAGCAGGAGCGCTCCGCACCTTCACAGCTTGGTTTTCACAGAATGGAGACGCAGGTACACAGGCTACAGGGGAGATGCAGGGCACAGTAACGGCCTCCTGATCTAGATAAAACCAAGACTAATACATTGCACCATTTGAAGAAGATAGAGGTCAGCAAACTAAAGCCTTTCTTTTTGCAGCCTACATTCCAGTTCTGAGTCTCATACAATGACTATAAACGGATTGTACAGCATCACAAACCATTCCTTTAGCTAGCTGCCTCAATTTATATATGCTCAGTCTGATTTTTTGGATTTTTTTCCCTTTTATGCAAGCTGAACTTCACTAAAAATCACAGAGTACACCTTCTGTAATTAGCAGACTGTAAGTAAAATGTTATTTCTCTTTCTACAGTCCATCAAACTACTTCTTCCTAGAAACACTTGCTTTAGCATCTATAATTTTGGTCTTGGCATTCTGCACCAATTCTGCACTCAGACTGCATGGGAATAATCCAATTTCTTTTTACAACTGATTTTTCTGCACGTTTCCCCCAAGAGTAATTGTAGGGAAAGAATGCGAGCGAAATGGGACATTATTGCATAGTCTGGGTTAGGGAGAGGATAATGGATGTGAGGATGGGAGTGACTGGAAGAAGGTATTATAATAAAGAGGAAATGCAACATAAAAGCCTGATGTTGGTATCTCTGAATAAAGTAGAAAACATCATCACTCATTTAATGCTATGAACTTCTGTAACACTTTTTAGAACACAGAGGGTTTTTTTAGAATTATCTTCTGCAGAGAATATGACAATATTGATAGCATACTAAGCAGTTCTTTGACATCTGCCAGCTGCCACTCAGTCTTTACCTTTGACCATGGACATTGCATGGAATATAAAAGTTGAATGTTATTTACAAAAATAAATTGTTTTCCACAGAAAAAAATGCTTTTCATAAAAACAAGAACAGTATATTAAGAAAGTCATACAAATCTTGAGTCATTATTTAAAGTGCAACATGTTGGGAGCAAAAAAGTGTCAGCAGTTTCATATTTTGGCAACTTCAGGAAAAACATGTCTATAACAAACTGTGCAAGGAGAAACAAGCTAGAACACACAGAGTATAGTCCTGAGGAGAAACAAGCTAGAACACACAGAGTATAGTCCTGAACTTGCTCATTAAGTTTCTGCAAAAATTTAAAAAAATTTTAAAAAAATAGCTCTGTACTCCCAGAGCATGGTTTATAATCCTTTATGGCACAATCATAGATCAAACCCAACATTTCATTTTGGAGGAAAAAAAAGTTCAGCTGCTTACTTTCAGCTGTCTTGTGCTAGAGTTTTCGGTCACATATCTTTTGACAGCATAGTCCTGCAACTCAACATCCTATTCTAAAATAATGATTAACAGAATGTGTCACAGCAATCAAGAGCTTAACAGGACTGAAACAGGCAAGCCATTACTGTGAGAAAGCAGACCAAAAAACAATATAACATACTGAATGCACACACATCCTCCACCAATTTATTGTACTTCAGAAAAATCTTTTTTTCTGGATGTGAACTGAAAATAAGTTTGAAACATTTTGTACTGGTCACTGCTTACTAGTAAATCATAAAAAATTATTTATATGGCTTAAATGATGTCCCAACATAAAGAAAGCAAATACATATTTGAATCCTCTGTGTTTCTACATTCAGTTCAGTTCATTCAGTAAACCAAATTTCCATAGGTGATGGAATAAATGAAGTGCCACTTGTCTGAGAAGCGATGAACTCACACAGAAGTCTTTTCCTTGCTGGATGGTCCTTCTACCTTTCCTTGCTGGATATTCTAGGCACCTATAGATGCCTAAAATTTTTGATATTGCTATTCCTCTATCAAATTTGATTGAAAATAATTAAAGTGCTCAAAAATAAGGTAACAGTTGCCATTTGCAAAAGCCGCTTCCATAGGAAACACAAGCTGAAAAAAAGAAAGACACACTGCTGAGGAGATAAATAGCAAGATTTTTTTACAGATATATACATAAATATATACATTTGAGGCCTCCTTATTGATCAAAAACATTACCTTTGAAACACCATTAAATGAAATTATGGCTACAAAAGTGTTACAATCATAGAACTATAAATACACTATCTAAAGAACTACTGAATTTGACTAAAAACTCCTGAAAAGATGTCTTGTGTTTTAATAAAGAGTTAAACTGAGACACAAGAAAGGGATAAGTAAAAATGCTAAGTAACTAACCCTAATATAGTAGTATACAATATTGATTCTAATCTAAGACAGTATTGTAATTACATTTTTCCTATGGAACACCAAGAAAGACAGGAAAAAATAAGTGTTCTCTGACCCTGGATATTAGTTTCATTTTTCTAGTCTAAATACAGAAACAGAAAATGTGTCACATGCACATTAAACTATGACAGGACCATCCAATGAGAAGATTACTTATATTATTCAATTTAAAAATGGCAGCTGGAAAACAGGAATTTATCCTATTAGTGGAAACTGAAACAACAAGCTGAAATGCACGCTTGAGTTTTTTCAGATGAAGAGGGAGACTTCTCAGAAGGCAATATTCTCTTCCACATTAAAAAATTGTACATGGAAGATTTACGGACTTATTGACAGTTTGACTGAGATGCAATGGAATCAGGCAAACATTATTGTTAACTCACAATCAGGCAACCAATTCAAGAGGCACAGGTAAACTGATCTCACTAGTTCCTGGTTAAGTCCAATTTCCCACTACAGGGAAATACACAATACTTATGTTATCTGAAACTGAGATTCAGAAATGTACTCCCCCACACAGTGTCAGTAAAGAGAAGTTCTTCAAGCTACAGCTGTACTGAAGCTCAAAACAATAACATTTCCATACTTCAAGTAAACCTTGACAGATTATCTGCTTAACAGAACAAAAACCAGTATCAAGCATACTAAATAAAGCAAGTTATTGCACTTACAGTGTTACAGTGTCTCAAAAATGGTATCTCCAATATGCTTTCATTTGTGTTCTGCTCACATGAATGCTCTGTCAGTCATGAAGGAAATGTTCCTCTTCATGTTTTTGGTATAGTGTTGGGGCTTTGTTTTTTTCCTCTGAAGCTATGAAGTGAATATTCTGTGTACATTGCACCTTTAAACACAAATCAAACAATTAGCCTGCAGGCTACCTGGTCACAAAAATAAGCATGACCAAAACACCATACTGTTTGGAGACCTGGGAGAAACTGCATCCTCTGAGTAATTTTCAATTTCTTGACTGGATATGAATCAGTACACTACTTCCACCGAATTATTCTTAACATGTAAAGCCTGCTGCTAAGGAGCTTGCCATAAAAATATTTAGTCCCTATAAAATGTCGAATTCCAATACAGAGAGATGATTTTATTACAGATATAGAAAAGAATGCTTTGCAAAACTGGTATACCTACTCCCAAAAAAAGAGCCCTTTTTTACTCACAGCAGATCCCAACTAATTAAACCTTAAAAATGTAACATTGCTTTATAGGTCAAATTTCTTTAGGAAGTTTCTGTGTTTCTCAAAATCGGTTATTTTCATATGTCACAGGCTGGAAGCCTCTGATACTCTGGGGTGATAGCCTTTTAAACTTATCATAGCAAATTATTTTACCATGCAATTCTGGCTACACATATTCACTGCAGTCATTCATTAAATACAAAGTCTTAATTTTGTAAGTGAAGACTGCAGAGACCTAAAGATTTCTTACCTACATTTTGTTAATGTAAAAATAAGCAAGCTAGGTGAAGTCAGTCCCCTCTGTGCTCCATTTTTCAAATTTTGATTATTCCCACGTGCCATTCAAGAAATAGTGATGTGTTAATAGCACATTTGATTTAGCTATATTCAGATAATGAGAAGCTCATAGGAAAACAGCATAGAAAGAATATAAAAATACTCTAGTCCACCAGAAAATGGTATGGCTCACAACTTGAAATATTTAGGTTTGTACTCGTTTTTCTTCTTGTAATAGTACTAATCTGTATAGTGGTACTATTATATAGTAGTATACTATACTATATATATACACTATATATATATATATACAATATATACTATATATATATTATATAGTATTATATAGTATTTAGCTGCCCTGTTTCCTAAGTGCAAAATAAGGCTGTAACAGTTTACAGTGTATGCAGCTGAGTGACAGTGATCTTGGGTTAAAATACAGCTAATCTGAACTAACAGGTGTATAAAAACCTGAGCTCACCTCATTAAGGTCAATTTAACGAACATTAATTCTACACAGTATCCTCAAACACTTTCAAGACCCTTATATTCTGGGAAAACACAGAATTGTCCAAGAGTGGGTCAGTATTTACAGAATACTGAAGTATTTTCCTCTTAAGACTTGCTCCTTACAATCATTTTGCTCAAATGAACTACATTTTCTTGAGAAACTGAAACCAGTGTCAAAATAGGCACATTTAGCAAAGAGATCAGATGCTCTGTTACACAGAAAACTTGATAACAAATTTCCAAAACACATGCTGCAATTTCTAAGGGCTGCTACTATGTTAAACATTGAACAGTCTCTGAAAGCTCTTGCCTAATTAAGAGGGCCATGAGCTTCTTTGAGGAAGTCTTTAATATTTCTTCTTCTGTATGAATCTGTTATAGGGACAGATGTACAGACTAATATAAAAAAAGAGAGATTATGCTGCTGAAGTTTTTTTTTGGTAAGTTTTTTTTTTAACTGTACAGATTAAATAATTACTTTTCCATTAATTCTCTTTTGATCTCCAAAAAGAACATCATTACTTTGTAAGACTTTCTTCACTCCAACCCAGTATTTTTGAGTACAAGATTACTTATAAGAAAGTGCTTCTGTCCTTTCTTAAAATAGATTCTGAGTGGGAGCACATGCCATCATGATGCTGTAACTCATCAGGAAATTATGATGCAGTACCATCTTATTCTAAAGGCACCCGCTAGCTAAGATATGGACAAGGTCACATCAGCACTTTTGTTTTTCAGGAAGAAACAAACATAATACCACCACCAACAAAAAAAACCCAACATAACAAAACAAAACAAAAAAACCCAACCAAACAACAAGAAAACCCCACCAAAACACAAAACCAAAAAACTTGACACCAATCACTTCGCATAGAACAACAGCTACCAAAATACTAAGATGGAAAATTATAATTGTGAAAATACTAAGTGTACATAATTTAAAAATGCAGTGAACTACCTAGAATTATTATCTAGGAAGGCAACAAACTAAGGGGAGGAGAACTGATTTCAAATGTTTTTTTCTTTCTTTGTTTTTTAGTAATATTTAATAATTTTTTTAATCATATGGCATGTCAACGAGGTTGTGGGGAAGACTGCTGGGGAGAGTGCTCCAAAATTTTTTTCCTGCTTGCTACAATCTTGAAGTATATCCAAATAACTTTTGTTTTGAAAAGACATTGAAGAAGACTACATCAGAAAAGCCATGACAGAAAAACCTTCTTAAGTAAAACAGGCTGTTAGTTATTTTGATTTTCTTTAAAAAAATAATTGTTCTTATTTTATTTAAACAACTGAAAGGAAATCTGGTTGTCCAGCAGCTTTATTCCTTCAAGTGCATCAATACAGCATCCAGGCTGGGTGACCCCAGAACTTTCTAACTGTTAAGATATTTTTATTTAAATGGCAACAAAAACCAGTGCTCCTGCTTTTACCATTTTCAAATACTTGATAAGCATCATGTTTTCTCATCATCTGCATGGCTTCTGAATTCTTGGCAGCATGTAATAAAAGTATTTTTGCATGTAAGCAAAATTCAGGCCCTCAAGTCCTATACAAAGTCATCCAACAAACACCACAGGACTTCCCTAGAAACAGAGATGATAAATACACTTAATTTTTCTGGTGGCAACTTTATATAAGGCTGAAGCTCCACCCAGACACACTAGTAGGCTCATGTGCAAGGTAACACAGAAATTACACCTGAGGCAGCAAACACCCCCCAGTGAAAGGACGGTGGTGGGGCTGTATAACAGCACTGCAAGGCACACAAATGGCTTGGGACTACCAATCCAGAACTTTTCCTGGAGATACACACCAGATTACAGCGAGTACCACAGAGGCAAGGAATTTGGCTTTAATTCCCTGTTAGCATATGGGGATTTAAAACCATGCATTTTTTTCCCAGAAGAGCGCTTTAATTAGGAATCTTAAAGGCTGGATAGTAACAAGCTTCTAGTCTGCTAAAGCTAGGTAACTACCCAGCTAAAAATTAAAATGCTGTGGCATCTGGACAATTAACAAGGATCACACTGTAGCCTGGTAATAACCAGGGTGCTCAGCTGGGAGAGAAGACCTAGATTCTAGTGCCTGCTCCAGGGACTATTTCTGTTTTGTTACTTGCCCTTTAACAGGACAAGAAAATTCAACAATAGTTCAAAATGCAAATACCTGAACCCTCTTCTCTTCCCTTCCACTGCATGGTCCAAACTACTGAAGTTTAAGATACCAAAGCATCACCACATCTATGGCTCTCTTTGGATCTAGCCTACAAAGCACTACAGATACCTATTTTTGATTGACTATTTATTTCTCTCTTCAGAAAGACAGGATTTCTCAGAATTTGGGCACCTTTCCAGACATGAAGCTTTTTTAATTTCACAAGTGTGTAGCTAGGGATATAGCTCCTAATAGCATGCTCCACAGAGAGAGTAAAGGCAATACATTCCATTTTAAAGAATATTTAAAGCTGCTTCTACTTTTAATACAGCATTCCCTGGAGCAATAAAAATATCCCCAAATTACTGGATCAACACAATATTCTCTGCTCAGAAACACACAAACTCTAGTAAATCCACCTCACAAGTCTAAAACAATGACTTAACACCCTCCTCTGCCCCTGACATCCATCATCACACTATATGTTAACGCTAACCACCTTCTTGTGTCAACTGCAGCTTTTCTTCCTTTTTTCTTATTTTTTTTCAACTTGCATCTTTTGGATCATGTACTATTTTTTTGTTTGTCTTCATTCAAAAATCTTCAGCCTAGCCTTGAAGACACACAAGAAAGGTAATGTTCACATAGGTTGATCAATATGATAAATTAACTGTGAAATGTTCATTTTTTTAGAAATCGTTATATACTTTTGAGTACCACATTAAGTTAACACTACTGGAGCTTCTTCAACTTCCCATCTCAAATTCTTAGCCCTGGAGCAAGAATGGATGCAGTCAGAAGTAACTACTCAGATGTAAGAGGAATGCAAAATGTATCCATGTATGTCATTTCCATTAGACTAGTAGTGCCTCAGTAAATTCAGAGGTTTGCAAACCTTAATTATCAAAGAAAGATATAATTGTTACTTTCAAAATACTCTTTTTAAATATCATGTCTTCCCTTTAGTTTAATGACTGCACTTTAGGCCTCATCCAGAAAGGTAAAGCTTTGATATTGTTAATATGACAGACATTGAGGGAAAATCCAAACCCTCTCCTAGAGCAAAGTATACAACAAAAATATACATTATGTAATTCTAATATACAGACTATACTTCTCTGAATTAGCTAATTTGAACAGACTAGTGAGTTCATATGGGCATTCCTTTAAAAAAGAGTAGACAAACTGTCTGAACAGAATTTTAGCTGTTCAGCTAACAAATGCTATACAAAAGGATTCTGTTAAAAATCAAGGAACTATAAAGAGTAAGTTCAAGAACAAAGCTGTGTCCACATAACACTTTCAAGACATTTGATCCTGGTTACCTGATATGGAAAGGCTTAGTAAGAAACCATATTCAAGCACTGAAAAATCCTAAAAAAAACACTCTTTCAAAAGCGAAATACTGAAATAAATGCATCATGTGTGTTCTAAGAGCATCTCTCAACTGCTAAATTTTGTTTAATAAATAAATAAAATAACAAATAAATAAGTGGTATGTAGGTCCTTGATGCAGAGGCTGTTATATACAAATTTAATAAATGGCATCTCATTTAATACTCAAATTGACTGTGTCTTCTAGGATGTCTTAACTCATATATTACATTATATTAGTTATCTTGAAATTCTTAAATAACCAACAAGAGTTTTTTACCTAGTAAGCTATATTTTAAAAGTCAGGCTAGAGTAGCCAAAGTTAATTATGAGTGAA